ATCCGGTTATACACTATGACCATTTTACCCTCTATCTTTGATGAAATAAAGGCCGGTCAACCAGGAGATGTGAAGCTTGAGCGAGTCAAGGCCGGGATGAAGGACGGGGTAAACGGACCATTTCGATTGCATGAAGACGGGAGTATCCGTTATAAGGGTAGGTGGTGTGTCCCGATGAAGTGTGAGCACATTAAAAAGCAAATCATGGAAGAAGGACACAACACGCCCTATTCAGTACACCCGGGAGGAGACAAATTGTATAAGATATGAAGCAAAACTTCTGGTGGCCGAGAATGAAGAACGAGGTGGCGGAGTTCGTGGCACGATGCTTAAACTGTCAAAAAAAGTGAAAGCCGAGAGGTGCAAGCCCAAGGGACTCGTGCAACCCTTGGAGGTGCCAACGTGGAAATGGGACTCTATCTCGATGGACTTTGTCGGGGGTTTACCTTTAACAAAGTCCGGGAAAGATAAGATTTGGGTGATTGTTGATAGATTGACCAAGACCGCCAGGTTCATTCCCATGAATGAAACTTGGGCATGGATAAGCTAGCAAGGGCCTACATCAAGCATGTGGTGAAGTATCACGGCGTACCCCGAGATATTGTATCTGACAGAGACTCCAGATTCCTATCCCAATTCTGGAGGGAACTTCAAGCTGCTATGGGGACCACTTTGAAACTGAGCACATCATTCCATCCTACTACGGACGGTCAGACCGAGAGGACTATTCAGACACTTGAGGATATGCTGAGAGCCTGTGTGCTGGACTTGCAAGGATCATGGGACGAACACTTAGGTCTAATAGAGTTCTCGTACAATAACAGTTACCACGCGAGCATTAAGATGGCTCCGTACGAGGCTCTATACGGTCAAAAGTGTCGAAGTCCATTGTGTTGGGGCGATATGGTAGACCAGGTTGTCTTAGGGCCGCAATACTTGCAAGACACGATGGAGAAGATCAAACTCATTCAGGCAAGGATGAAGGCAGCGCAAGATAGGCAAAAATCATATGCAGACCTAGGAAGAAAACCAGCTGAATTCGAGGTGGGAGAGAAAGTACTCCTCAAAGTGTGACACTCCAAAAATTTAAATAAAAATAAAAATAGAATGTAATACTTAAGAATTTGGTTATTTTAGTTTATGTTTCGGGACGAAACATCTTTTAAGGAGGGTAGAATGTGACACTCCAAAAAAAAATTTAAATAAAAATAAAAATAATTTTTATTAGCCAGATAAAATATTACGAAAATAACATTTTTATAAATAATTGAGTCAGACAAAAAAATCAACAGTGGTAACATGCTAATCAGATAAAAATTTCAAAATTTATGACGTTTTAGTCAGATAAAAATGGTCCGATAATAGAAGTAACATTTTAGTATAAAATTTACTTTTATATATATCTATTTTAGGTATAATAATACGTATAGATTTTATACGTATAGATAATATAAAAAGTTAGTATTTTAAATAAACTAAACTAACTACTCCTACTTCTAATAAACCTACATACATATTATTAAGTAATACTAATAATACTCCTAATATACATATAACTAAGTAGTATACTCCTAATATATAACTACATACGTACGTAATACTAAATATATAACTTATAACTCCATAAAACTGCATACACTCCTAAACAAACTAAACAACCCTAGAACCATTGATGTCATATACTATTACTATCTACGGAGCATATAAATACCAACTCTAATAGATGCAAAACAATAATACTCCTACGTAACTTTTGTCCGGTAGGTTTTTTTTCTTGGCCGGCAAAACAACACAACCAAAAATCGGGAGGAGCTGTTTTAATCCAACTCTAACTCTAACACAGCCCGGAACCCTCATCTCTCCCTATAAATAATAGGCCAGAACCTGCGTTTTCTTCATCCCAAAAACTAAGAAATATACATATATACGTATTTATATATATTTTTACGACCCAGCGTTTTAGCCAGAATCAAGCCCTGAAAATACTCCTCAAACCTTCCCCTTCGTGATACGAATCCAACGGAAAAAGAATCGTCGAAAACGGTCGTGAAACGAGGGAGAAAAGTCTCGCCGGAGTTTCGCCGGAGAAAAGCTTTTCGACGGAAAACGGAGAAGAGGGAGGAGCTGCCACTGCCGCCAACCCACCACCGTCATTCGCCGTCCCGAGAGGAGTGCACCGCTACCCCGTTGGCCGTTTCCGACGAGGTAAAACCTCTTTCCCCGTTTTTTTCTCTCTCCCCGTTTTTCCGGCGACCTGGGGAAGAAGAAGACCCAGCTGGTCTGTCTTTTGGGCCTTTTTCAGGATTGGGCCAGAAAATAAAATTTGGCCCAATTCGGCCCAGTTGCAATAAAAATTAAAAATAAAATAGTAAATAAAATACATAAAATCTGGAAAAATATAAATTAAATACCTAGTATAAATATACATATTCGGACCAACCAGAATTGGAAAATAATATTTTTAGCTATTTTTAGTGGATTTAATGGTAATTGGGCCAATTTATACACATTTAGTAAATAATTAACTAAATAGCGAAAATAATTATGAAATAATTATTGGAGTAAACTAGGATAAATATATGGCTAACTAGGACCTTATGGACCATTTATAATTAATAAAAATAAGGTTTAGTATATTTAATTGTAATTAAACCGGTTAATAGATATATGAAATTAAAGGAATAATTATGGAAAAATAATTATAAAATAGATATCTGGACAACCTAGGTGAAATATAGACCCAAAATATAGTTATGGACGGTTTTTAATTTGTAAAGTCGATTTTTAGTCTATTTATTTAAATTAGGCCATATAAAACTAGTTAAGTAATTAAATAAGGAAATATTAGTATTAATGGTGAAATAAATAAATCACTGAGGTTGAAAAATAATATTCTGGACTAAAAATAATGTTTGAATAAAATAAGGAAAATAAATATTTTCGGTTATGTAAATAAAGTAATTAGATAATAATTAGAGAAAATTAAGGGTGATTATTGAATAAAAATTGGATGTTGGAGCCAATAATATTCGGATATTTTATTTAATATTAGAATTCAAATATTATAATTAATGGCTGAATTAATAAGGTAATTTGATTAATAAAAAGTGATTAACCAAAGTTAATGCGAATAGTAAAATAAAAGGAGAAAATCGGGTAAAGTAATTACAAATAGAATAAGTGACTAATTTATCATATTTAATTAAAAAGGTGATTATCTAGAGACCGGATTAGAGGAGGATAACTAGGAGCAACAGGACTTAAGGTAAGTTTCTCTGCCAATCCAAAATTGTTTCCTCGTATTATATGCTTATTATATGCATTATGTGATTAAGTGTGATTTGTGAATTTTGTGTATGTGATTTTGAGAAGATATTATATATATGGTAGTTAAGAAGTATAAATCAAGTACTTTTGGGGTATTAAATATTTTTAAATACCTTTGAGACTTTTTAGAGAAATTAAGAAATATTTTTGAAGTATTGTTAAGCAAAGATAAAATTTACATTTTCATAAGAAGATAGCATCTCGGGAGTAATCCGAGGTGTCGGTTTTTCCACATCCGGATAAATGTGGAGGGTGATTAGAGCTACTACTACTAAGAAGTATAGTTTGGATCTATGATCCCTTTTAAGCAAGATTTGGATCTATGATCCCTTTTAAGTAAGATTTGGATCTATGATCCCTTTTAAGAAGAAGTTATGGTAGTAGTCCCTAATCATTCAAGAATTTTAGAATTGGGGTGGTTGGGTTCCGACAACTCGGGATGACTTACTACTCGGAGGGCTTGGAATCCCTTTTAGGGGGTGTGCACACTTAAAGTAGTCGTTTCGTTTCCAACAGAGCAGTTGTGGTACCGGCACTTGTTCGGGGTGGCCGTCCGTAACCACGGTCCACCGGGCTCTACCGAAAGGTTAAGCACCGCCCTTCTAAATTACTAGGAAGTTAGAGAAGAAGTGATTTTTGAGGAAATCAAAGAGAAGAGTTATTATGAAGTTTTAAAGAGAAGTTGGGGATTTTTGTAAAGAATTAGTTTTGAGAAAGATCAAAGTGAAAAGAATTTCGATGGTGTGAGTATTTTTATATAGTATTATATAAAAATCTATTTTTAGCCAAACCTGATTATTTGACGGGGTTGGGTAGTACTTACTTAGCTCTAAAGCTAATTTTTGTTATTTCTCTTGTCTCTCTCTTCTCCCTTAAATTTTATCAGGTGATGAGTTGGATGCCTATGTGGATTGATGGATTGCTCGAGCTTGAGTGCGAATTAGAAGATGCCTTAGTTAAATCTAGTCATGAAATTAACATTCACTTATTATTACATTAGTTTTTATTGTTTTACTTTGAGTTGCCTGTGCATTCGGTTAAGAGATGACCGAATGTGGCGGTAACACTCATTTTCCCTTTTAGACTTCCGCTGTATTTCTTCAACTCTTTGATAAATGAATAAAGTATTTCTTTTAAATATATCAATGTTTTTGGCGGGAAATTTAGGGGTGTTACACAAAGTCTCTCCTACCAAAGGCGTTATGAGATTTGGGAAGAAGGGCAAGCCGAGTCCCCGATTCATCGGACCCTACGAGATTCTGGAGAAGGTGGGAAGAGTGGCTTACAGGTTGGCTCTACCCACAGAATTGAGTAAGGTAAGGATTAAATCCGTTCTTTCTAAATGTATTCCAAAGTTGGAAAACCAAGCTGAAACGTGTTATCGTGTGCAAGGTACACGACGTATTCCATATATCCCAACTGAAGAAGTATGTCCGTGACGAGGCACACATCTTAAACCCGGAGGTAAGGACCTCACTTTTAGATAGCTAGGATGCGGTTTAGTAGACATTGAAATAACCCTTTATGTAATTAGGTGATCGAGTTGGATGAAACCTTGACATACGAAGAGAGACCTGTGAAAATCTTAGACACGAACACACGTGGAACTCGGAGAAAGGCCATTCAAATGGTCAAAGTTTTGTGGTCAAATCACTTAGCTGAAAACGCCACATGGGAGACGGAGGAAGACATGAGAAAACGTTATCCTGAGCTATTTAGTCCAGGTAATGTTTTAGTTACGGGGACGTAACCTCTCTTTTAGGGGGGTAGAATGTGACACTCCAAAAATTTTAATAAAAATAAAATATTTTTATTTTTGGGATAAATTATTACAAAAGTGAGATTTTAATAATCAAGTGAATCAGACAAAACTTCAAAATTTATGACAGATAAAAATAATTCAACGATGGAAGTAACATTTTTATGATAATAATGAAAGTGACAATTTTGTAACATTAATAGTTACACATATGACAAATATTAAAAGTCACGTTTTATAAACATAATAATGTAGCACATTTTAAAACAATTTAAAAAAAAACTAAATTTAAGTTGACTATTCAAACTACCATGTAAATGATGAACCTCATAACCGGCTAAATCTCAACAATAGATACAAGTTTAATACTCCTAGCCATGCTTAAAACTAAAAATGGAAAGTCTTCTACGTACAAGTTTAATATTCGTGACAATGTCACTTCCACGAAGTGTTAAACACTACTGCAGCTAAAAAGGAAAAAATACATAGAACAACAATAATAAGGAAAGCACTAACTAGCTACATATTATTATACCTAAAGTACGATATCAACGCTTCTCATATTGCATTCCTTAGGAGTGCCGCGTTACAATGGAAAGCTAAATAACCGGAAGTAATTAAATGCAAAATATCTTTTAACGTATTACTTTTATTACACATGATAAAATACTCACACAACATGCATGTATAAGAGCTGTGTACGTCGTAGGTCTGCGTAGCGCTTACTAATAATAATAATAACAAAATGAGTACATGCGCTAGAAGAAAACCGTGGTTATTGATATTAATGGCCGGAGATTCTTAACATATTAACGTACGTCTAGCTAGAACCATCAATGAGCTATATAAATAGCAGCTCTGCGATCAATCTACGCTGCACAAAACCTCCGCCTACAACCTGCGTTGCAGGGAGAAAACGAGAGAGAACAAAGTGAGAAAAAAGAAAAGAAAAGAAAGAAATAGATAGGAAACGTGAGAGCAAGACGGTGACGGAAGGAGAAGAGAGGCCGATCGTGGAGCGCCGGAGTTCGCTGGAGAGGTACGTGCGCTGCAGATTCCTGCCGGATCGACCTGCCACTAAACGCCGCCGCATCACCAAAAGCTGCCGGACTGTGCTGTGCGTTGGGTCGGGGGACTGCCTGCAGATCTTCTTTACGTTGCAAAACGAGGTAAGCTCCCATACCGGCGTAACTTCGTTTTTCCGGCATATACATGCGAAGAAGATGACAGACCTTTCCCTTTAACTAGTTTGGACTGCACCCTTAGTTTAATTCATGGACGGACTGTTTAAAATAGAAACTAGGGTGATTCACTAGTAATTGATTAGACTGATTAATCTGTTGTAAATGGACTGCTCGAAAGGAAACAAATAATAATAACATTGATTAACAGTCTCGTAAAGCAAGGATATGAGTAATAATACGGTTATCACTAGTAGAAATAATAAGAAGAATAGCGCCGACAATTTTAGTTATGGATGGTTAAAAATAATAACTGTTGGATTATTAAACTGCAATCTTAACCCTTTGTATAATAATAATAATAATAATAATAATAATAATAATAATAATAATAATCTGCAAAACTGATAAATTTGAAATGAGAAATACTAATGGTGGAACCGGCTTGGTTGATTGTTAGTAATCACTTCGGTAAGTTTGTTAATTGTTATTTATCATAATTACGTAATGTTAAATGATAAAATGAATCGATGGTGTAGTTAATAAAAATGAACAAACGAACATGTTATTAAAATATTAATTATTTATTTGGACTTAGTACCATAATTAGATTAAATAAAGTGGGATAGATATTATTTTCACTAATTATTGGATTAATAAAAAATTTACATAATTACGGACTCGGAAAGAATAAGTGTTGAGTAAATTAATAAAATCAGATTAAGTTAACGATGATTAGTTAATTTTTATAATCGGATTTACTAATTGTGCTAATGTGGATTAGTATAAAGTGAGTGATAAAACAAGTGATTAGCGGATAAAATAAATTCGAATGATTAATTAATCTTGTTAGTAAAATTAGAATAATAAAATAAAAGGGAAGATTGGATGAGTTATTAAAGAAAAATAGAATAAGTGGCTAACTATACCATCTTAATTAAAAGGTGGATTTTTAGAAGCCGGGATAGAAGAAGAAAGATAGGAGCACCGAATTTGAGGTAAGTCACATTGCAACCAAAATTTTATTTTTCCTCGTAAATAATTATTTGCTTGATATGTGATGATAATATGAATATTTTGAATGATGAAATTGTGAACAAGTTGTATTGTTGTGATTTTGAGATATATTGGATTATATGTATACATGAGATATTTTGGGAAGATATAAAGTTAAGAATTTAAGGATAATAATCCTTGTGGTGAAATTCTGTCCAAGAGACATAAATATGAGATTTTTGGAAAGACAAGATAAAAGACTGTTTTCATAATTGGGGACACCACGGGAGAAATCTGTAGGTGTCGGGCCACCTTCACGTCCGTTAATGGTGAAGGAGGGTTAGGACTACTACTACTTGAATTGAGAGGTATAAAATAAAGTAAATGAATTTTGGAGGGTTCGGTAATACCCCGAACAACTGGGCATTTGATCCCTTTTATTAGAGCAGTAGTAGTAGTACCTATTCTCTTAAGGGTCTTTGAACCTAGAATTTAGGGAGTATATCCCATTTGGAGTAGGGAGACGTTGACGTCAGAACTACTTAGACTTCATACTACTCGAAGGGCTTGGAATCCCTTTAGGGGGTGTGCACACTTAAGGTAGAAGTCTAGATTCTAATAGAGGAGATGAGGTACCGAGAGGAGATCGGAGTGACCGTACAAAACAACGGTTCACTGGGCTCAAGAATCGAGGTAACGCTTGAGTACCGCCCATCTAAATGACTAGGAAGATTAGCTATAAAGCTCTTTTGAGGAAAAACAAATAATTTTGTATTTGGAGAATTATTCTTTGGAATACTTATAAGAATTATGGAAGGACCTTTTGAAAATGTTATCACTCCTTTTGAAACAAATTTATTGGAAACTCATTTTTGTATATATTATATACAAATGCTTATTTTTCAACAAAACTATTATTTTACGGGGTTGGGTAGGATTTACTTAGCGAAAGCTAATTTTTGTGTTATTTGTTTCTTTTATTTTCTTATGTTACAGATGGTGTGATATCTGAAGATTGATGCCTTGAGAGCGCTCCTAGAAGACTTTTAGAGTAGTCTCGTTTAGAATAAACTCTGTTAAATTTCATTATTTCGACTGTTGAATTTAAATGATTACTTTAGATACATGTATGGCGGTTAGCCTTAGCATCCAGTCAGTTTAGGGCTGGGTGTGGCGGTAACACGCCCCTTTTCCATGTTATGGTTTAATTCCGCTGCAAGAAATTGGAAGTTTCAAATAAGTAATAAAAGTTAGCTATTTCTTTAAGTATTATTTTGGGAGGGAAATTTGGGGGTGTTACAACACATCACAAGGAATTGATCCGGATGATGAAGGAAAAGATGTGGATGCAACAACATACAGAGGGATCATAGGATCTCTGCTGTACCTAACTGCAAGCAGACCAGATATCTCTTTTTCTGTTGGAATCTGTGCCAGATACCAATCAAAGCCCAAGGAAAGCCATCTAAGTGCTGCAAAGAGAATCATCAGATACATCAAAGGAAATCCAAATGCAGGCCTGTGGTATCCCAAGGGAGGTAACTTTGAACTAATTGGTTACTCTGACTCAGATTTTGCAGGTTGCAGATTGGACAGGAAGAGCACCTCTGGTCACTGCCAATTGCTACGAGGAAGGCTTGTTTCCTGGTTTAGCAAGAAGCAGAACTCAATCTCAACAAGTACAGCTGAAGCTGAGTACATTGCAGCTGGGAGTTGCTGTGCTCAGTTACTCTGGATGAAGCAACAGTTGAAGGACTATGGAATTCAAGCTAAGGAGATCAAGCTGTTGTGTGACAACACCAGTGCCATAGCTATCTCTCAGAATCCAGTTCTTCACTCCAGGACAAAGCACATTGAAATCAGACATCACTTCATCAGAGATCATGTTGAGAAGAAGCATATCTGTATGGAGCATGTATCTACAGAAGACCAGCTTGCACATATCCTAACCAAGCCTTTACCTAAGGCAAGGTTTAACAAGCTAAGGGAAGAACTGGGAATGATGGATGATCTTCCCAGAGATGCCTGAACCAGAGATTCACTGAACCAGAACTGCCTTCTTCTGCACGAGAAACTCAGATCAGAGAACCCCTATCTCTGTTCATCAGAATCTCACATCAGAGAACCCCCCTTCTCTGACCAGAGATCCCTATCAGAGAGACAGCAGATACAGATGTGGACTTAGCAATATTTCGAGGTACGGGCAAGACCTAATTAATTGAAACGGTCTTTTACCAAAATATCCATGATCGTTACTCTTCTAACGGAAACGTTTTCCGCCCGCATTTCATTAAATGCTACCTCGAAACTGCCAATATATCAAACGTCCACTATTCTTAACCCCTTTATATCCACCGTCTTCAACCTAAATCCCTACTGCAACTTCATCTCTCTTAAACTGCTCTAGCATTCAAAGCATTCAGATCCTAAACCTTTCAATCCCCAGAACTTTTCTTAACCGTCACTCAGAATGAACTTCCTTAGCATCAACGATCTCTCTAAGGAAGAAGCTAAGACCCTCATCGCCAACATTGTCTCCGGCATGAAGGTTGACATGTCATCTCTACCATTGCTGACAGAAAATCAAAAGAGGATGACCAAGATCATCCAGGGGATGACTGACTCACAACTTTCAAAGGTTGTTGCTCATCCCTACGAGCATTTCAGCATCAAAGACGTGGCTGAGTTCTACCTCAACGCAACCATCTCCAAGACTGGAATTCACTCCTCAGTGCAGGGTCAACGCATTTTTCTGAATGCAGATGCACTAAATGAGTTCTTTGGAGTTCAACTAGACTCCCAAGACCCAGAAGCAAACAATCTTCTTGCTCTTGACTCAGTGGAAGTCTCCACTGAAGGCTTTGTTCAGACATACTGTCGCCCGTAGGCTGCCGGACTGGACAAACTGTACATGAAGAAATTCCTGCTGAAGAAGGACTATGAGAAACTTGTCAGCATTCTGCACCGGTGCTTGTGGTGCAAAACTGCTTCAACAGACGAGATGAACAAGAACAATGCCAAGGCAATCTTTGCAGTTCACCATGGCATGAACATCAATTGGGGCGAGGTAATTTTTGGCTCCCTGACTGAATTCATCAAGAAGAAAGACTCTGAAACAGGTCTTTTTTCAACCAAGATGGGACATGGGCTTCTCATCTCTGCCATTCTTGCTGCCAAAGGAGTTCAACTCAGGGATACCATCCCAGTTGATCACTCCAAGACAATCTTCCTCACAGCCTCCCCAAAGTTCAACATAGCCATCTCCTCTGAGCTTAGGAGAGAGGAAAGGCTAGAGAAGAAGAGAGAAGAACAGGCTGCCAAGTTCAAACCTGCTCCTAAGAAAGCTACCAAGAAGTCCAGTGAGACTTCTAAACAACCTGAGCAGTCACAGGCTGTAAGGGAAGTCAGGAAGAAGAAGAAAAGTGACAATCTGTCACTACCAGAAAAGGAAGCAACAGAAGAGGCCGCACCAGAGTTGCCCTCCCCAAAGGCAACCAGAAAATCTCCTGCCAGAAAGCTGAATCAGAAGAGAAGAAGAAAGATGGTTGTGCAGAGTGGTGACTCTGACAACTCAAGCACTAAACCAAGACAGAAGAAGAGGAAGACAAAAGTAATTTCACCTGTCAAGGGATCAGAAGTTCAGGGGGAACTTGCACCAAAATCTGGAACTCTACCAGAGGCTGAACAGGAATCTGCACCAGAGTTGCCAAGCTCTGCTCTCTCACCAGAACGTGAAGCCTCACCAGAGATGGAACAAGAGACTGACTACAACATCATTCTGCAGAGGCAGTTTGATAGAGTCCTAGCATGGAGAAGATGGAGAATGGGACCTCTCCAACAAATCATTCAGTACTTTGATGCCTATGAAGAAGAAGAAGCTGTTGTTCTTCACTGGGTAGGCACAGATGATGTGTCAAAGTGTTTCAACCTTGCCTTTCTGATCTCTGTCCTACAGAAGAAGAAAGACAGATATCAAGGTAAAGTTCCATCAACTGACCTATCTCCTGAACGGCATGTCAAAGCCTTGGAAGAGGAAGAAATTGAAGAGTTTGATGCATGGCTGATGGAGAAGAAAAGAAAAGAATCAATGATCAAATTTCGTCATAGCGCTCTTGAGGAAGGAGAACCCTCCACAGCAAATGACATTGCTCTAACTATGGAGAAGCTGATCAAGGAATGGAGAGAATCCATGTTCTCAGAAATTGTCCTTGAGGTAATTCCTACACCTCCTCCTTCCCCTCCCAAATCTCCCATTTCTCAACCTTCACCTTCCAAATCTCCCTCTAAACCTTCATCTCCACCCCAACAGAAAACCCCTTCACCAGACCAGAAAACCTCAACCTCCACCAGAACTCCATCTCACCAGAAACCCAACTCCAGACCCTCCTCACCCTGCAAACAACCTTCAAATACCAGAAATCGATAACCTTCACCCCCTCCATCCCCCTCACACCAACCTACTCCTCAACCAATAATTCCTTTTCCCCAGAATTCACCTCCTCATAAATCCTTACCACCCTCCAGATCTGCCTCTCCACAGAAATCTTCACATCACTCTGCAGCCTCTACACCAAAGAAGAAACCAATCTTCAGGGTCCCCTCTTCATCTAGTGACAATGATGGATTCCTCACCTCCTCCATTGCTGCTGATGAAACTTCAAAAAGGAGAAGGACACCTCCCAGAGTTCCTTCCCCTCCATCATCCAACAGAGCTCCTCCATTACCCAAGGGCAGAGGATTGGAAATGCCTGGGTTTACATCTGAAGAACCCCAGATTCCCTTCAACCAGTTTGTGAAATCTGCTGAACAATTTGGTGGTCAGTTGGTTCATGATCTGAGCAAGATCATTGAGCTAAATGACAAGCAACATGAAGAGCTTACCCATACCAACCTGCAAATCACAATAGGATTTCAGCATTTGACAGATAAGGTTGCTGCACTGTCAGAAACTCTGCACTCCTTCATGCATTCTTCTACTCTGAGGATCGATTCTGTCTCCAGAGATGTCAGTGGTCTCAACTCTGTTCTCCACTCTCACTCTCAAGCTCTGCTTGCCCAGAACCAGACAATCAACAAGATCTCAGATTCTGTTCATAACCTTCAGAAATCTGCTGACAGTTCATCCCAGAAACTCAACGTCTTACACTCCCTCTGCAAGGAGTATCAAGAGCAAGGCCTAGCTCTCCTCAAGTCTGACAAGGAAAGGTACCAGAAGATGGTGCTTCTAGAAGTCAGCACTAGGGATCTTCAATCTGTAGTTGACAAGCAACAGAGCCTGATTGAAGGACTTGCCTCTGTCACTCAAACTCTGCCAGAGACCCTTGATGAAATCAGAGATGCTCAAGCCTCTGAGTTCTCAAAGATTGAACTTCTCCTTGGCGATCTTTGTGATGCCAAAAAGGGGGAAGATACCAGAGAAGAGGAAGGACCCAACACCAGAGCTCTATCTATCAGAGAACCCTCCTCTATTGATCCTGCTCCATACTTCGATGCAACCAGAAAGAAAAGACTAGCTGCTGCAGGTACCAGACCTCCACCTCCTCCTCCAAGAAGCTCAAAGAAAAAGACTTCATCTTTTTCATTCAATGATTGGATGAAGAGCGGTCTGTCAAGGCCAGACAGAGTTCAGTTTGAACAGAGGAGAAAGCTGATGACTCCTCTTCAAAGAGAGAATCTGTTCATGGACAGTGATGGACTTGTCCAGATCAACCATGGTGGTTCAATCCAAGAAGCAGAGATGTGGTATGGAATGAAGATTCTTACTGACAAGAACTCTGCAGAAGCTGTCAGAAACTATTTGGATTGCAAACTTGCACCCCATTGGGCTGACTATCAGAATCCGAGGGATCTAGCCTCAATCAGAGCGAAGGTAAATGCAGAACTAGAAAGGATTGACAGAGCAGGACCACAGGTAGATGAAGAAGACCTCTAACTCTCTATCTCTGACTCTGTAATGCTTTATTTTCTCTATCAGATTAATAAGATACCAATTTTGCCTCTTTTTGCATGGCTTATTCAATATCTGTTCTTATTTACTTCCTTGTGTGTATTCTGTTATCTTTTTTTTTTGCTATCTGATTGTATCGTACTCTTACTATTTTCCTATGCCAAGTTGCCCACCAAGATCCTAATGAAAAGTTTTAAACTTTATTTTTTTATGGTGAAAGGCACTTCTCTGGAAATAGTTAAAGGGTTTTGACATCATCAAAAAGGGGGAAATTGTAAGGAATAAATGTATTTAGATTTTGATGATGCTAGGTTAATTAGAAGTTGAAAGTACCCCATTAGAAATTTTGTATTATAATTTCTTTTGTAAGTTTTAGCTTAGTCTGTCTGCCAGAGAACCGCTTTGCTTCTACCAGAGTTGCTCCCAGAGTTGCTCACCAGAGAAGCCATCAGAAACTGGTCATCAGAAAGTTACCAGAGTTGGCAACAGAGGCGGACTTCAGAAATTGGACCAGAGAGCCCCTTAAGACTCTGCTAAACACACCAGATTCCGGAAGCCTTTCCAACGGTCGTTAAAGTAACGGGAAATCCCCTAACGGTTACGAACCTTTCAACGGAAACATGGTACTGTACACGCATTAAATGCACATTTAATGTTGTACGTACGAAGAGATATTTAAAGCTGATGATTGACCATGCGAGTATCTTTACGCCCCCAAAATAGCAAGTCGAAGGTCCAACCGGTCAAGTCAACAGTACATGCATTTAATGAAGCTGTCTTCTACACTCCAACGGGAAGACTGCTCCCAGTATATAAGATACACTCTGAAGAACTAAGAGGATAACTTTGCGTAGAACAACTTTGCTATACCATCTGAAAAACGAACTTGCTCAAAGCCTTCTTGAGATTCAAACTTCATCCTTAACAAGAAAAGGCAACGGTTGGAAGATACATTTTCTAATCCCTTATCCAACTAGCAAAACTGCAAAGTTACTCAGTTCTTCAACACTTCGAAAGCCTCATCTACTCATCCTTTGTGAAGAAGCAACGTTGGAGAAAACTGGTTTTATATCAAACACTTCTTGAAAAAGAAGGGACATCTCAAACCAGATGGAGTAAGTGAAGTGGGGATACTTCAAGAGACTCAGTGAAACGAGACCAGCCATCAGGAAGCAGGACTGCATCCCGGGTGGCAACTAGACTTGAAGAAGACGAGGAGTGCTTCTTAAGTTCTAGGGACTAAGGCGTTGTAAACAGTTGTTTTTGCAAGCTTAGTGGAACAGTGGACTAGAGGAACAAGTTCTTCCTTGAACCACTATAAAAACCCCGGTGTCATTTACTTTAAGCTTTTAATTCCTGCACTTAAGATTCTACTGACTAACTCTTAAGGTTGGACTCTGTGTCCAGCAGATCTTCCTTCAGAGTTATCAGAAAGGCATTTTGCCTTAGCATTTTTCTTGAGGCTACCCGGACAGAAACTTATCCGCTGCCTGGTCTAGTTCTGCCATCAGAACTTGACCATCTCTGTCACCAGATTTCGACCATCTCTGACAAGTCACACTTGACTTAGAGAAAAGTTTAAATTCCTGAACAGTCTATTCACCCCCCCCCCCCCTCTAGACTGTTTCCATTACAAACGGGACCAACACTCACTGATTTCTATGAATCTCTCGGTATCACTCAGCAATTTGCAGCAGCCAAAACTCCCCAACAGAACGGAGTTGTTGAGAGAAAGAATAGGACTCTTGTTGAAGCAGCACGCACCATGTTAATCCAATCAAGACTGCCTCACTTCATGTGGGCAGAGGCAATCAATACCGCGTGCTTCACCCAGAACAGAACATCCATTCATAAACGCTTCGACAAGACTCCTTATGAAATACTCTTCAACAGAACTCCTGACATCTCTTTCTTCAAGATTTTTGGCTGCAAGTGCTTCATACTGAATGATCGGACAGAAAGAAGTAAGCTGGACCCCAAAGCCAGAGAAGGCGTGTTTATTGGCTACTCACTGCAGTCCAAAGCTTACAGAGTCTATCTAAGAGACAAGCGCACTGTCATCGAGAGTGTAAATGTTACATTCTATGAAATGGCAGACTTCGCGATTGAACATCTACAGGCTGATCCATCACATGCTGTACCAGTGGCTTCTGATAAAGCTGATCCAAACACAGAACACGAAGATGTGATTCTCAATTCTCTTTTCAGAAACTTTTACGAGAATTCACAATCTTCACCTCCTCCATGCACACCAGCTTCAACATCA